TCTGTGAGACTTGTTTGGTTGACTTTTAAGATCATCAGGCCAGAAAGGCTTTCCCTTGGTCCTGGCACCATCACAGATACATTTGGTGAGGATGAGGGAGGCAGCCATCCCAGTGGCTGCTCCCAAATTGTGGAATTCCCTTCCACAAGGGGCTTACCTAGGCCCCTCTCTGCTGGCAAAAAGAAAACTTTTATATTTAGGCATTTAAAATCTTTATATTTAGGCAAGAATTTGACGTTTAAGTGATTGTGGCAGGAGGATCTCTTTAGCAGAATATGTTAGTTTTTATCTTTTTACTGTATTTTAATGTGCTTTTTGTTGTTGCAATTTAGTTTTCTTTTAACAGAACTGTTTATTTAACTAATGTATCAAATAGGTTTTTAGTGCACTTAGTTTTTAACTTGATGTGAGCCACCTTAGGTGCCATCCTGAGAGAAGGGCAGGGTATAAATATATAAATAAACATGCTTCTTGGATTTTTCTTCTTTTCTTTTTTTTTTTTCCTGAGATAGAAACTCTAGCTATAAATAAATGATGTCTGGTTTAGTAGTATTCATGTTGCTGTTGTTACGTACCTTCAGATCATTTCTGACCCTATGGTGAACCTATCATGGGGTTTTCTTGGTAAGATTTGTTCAGAGGGAGTTTGCCTATGCCTTCTTCAGAGTCCGAAAGAGTGTGACTTGCCAAAGGTCACCCAGTGAATTTTCATGGCCCAGCAGGGGTTCGAACCCTGGTCTCCAGAGTCATAATCCAGTGCTCAAACCACTACACCACACTGGCTCACACTATACATGCTTACATGGAAGTAAGTCCAACTCTTCTGAGTGACACTTGCATCTGTGGTAACAAGATTACCTTATTTTCCTGCGTATAAGACTACTTTTTAACCTGCAAAATCTGTGGTTAAAGTGGGGGGGTCGTCTTATACGCTGGGTATAAAGATAAGGGGGATGGAGGTGCTAAAACTCTATATTTTGACTGGAAAAATGGGGGGGGTCGTCTTATACGCTGGAAAATACGGTAATCTCTTTATTTAGGAAAAATCATAGGAGGCTAGGAAGTAGCTTTATTGTGAGTATCCTATGCATGTCCTTCTAACCCAGTCTTGTCAACTGTGACTAGGAGTAGTTCTTCAAGGTGTCAGGCAGGATTTTTCTCTTACCCCCACCTGGAGATGCCAAGGGTTGAACCTGGGACCTTCTGCAGGCATGGCATGTTTCCTATAGCTAAGCTACAAGATCTCCATCAAGCGGTGTTCATCTGCACAGTTTATGATCCATGGGCAGATCTTACTTAAGCTGTTTTTGTAGTGTTCTGTATTGTTCTTCTTTTCTTTTTTATAGCATTCCAGCATCAAGCTCAAATCTTATTATGAGCACATTCTAAAAACTGAATTCCTTGAGATTAAATTGGCAGATATCTGACATTATATATCTGATGAGGCTTAAGGCCAAGACCAGAGCTTTCTGCCAGTGAAATGAATGCTTTCCAGCTTGGTGTTTTTCTCTCTCTCCTTTTTAAGGATTTGATAAAATACTATAGTCTCCCTCCACACCTAACTCCATCATGTTCACTGACCCATAATTAAAGTTACTACAACTACAAGCTAAGACAACCAGGGCACATATTTGCCCTCATTCAAGTTATATCCCTAAATGTGTGCTAAAGGCCATACTTATTTGGCTGCTGGTTAACATTATACTCAGCAAATTCTAATCCCCTGCTTAGATTGTAGGCAGTTGAGAAATTAGCTTTCTGATACTGTTTTAAATCTGTAGTGGTGATTTGTTCTCTTTCAAAGGTACAGTTTTTTTAAACATTTGACGTGAACTGCTTTGAACAACTTGAAAAATAGTATCTAAGTGCTTTAATTATAATTTTAAAAATTAAGGAGCAAATGGTAGTAATACCAAACTACTTGTCTGGGAGTGGGCGGCACTGAATTCTGAGTATTTATGTGTAGGATTGCTATTGTGGTTATAGTATAAACTACCTAGCAGTACAGGCTTTGCTACTTCAGGCCTTTTCCAGATTATGTGAGTTCTCACTATATAGTTCCTTGATCCTGCTAGTTTTATTGTCTTGTTGCTTGACTCTCAAGTTGATTTTAGCTGACATTAACTCTCCAGAAGCAAATCATATAAATTGCACACAAATGAAGAAGACATAGAATTAAATGTAGTCTACAGCTACAGCAGAAAACAACAGTCAGCATTTCAAGCAGCTATGATTAGTAATTGATAAGATCCCCTTCAGTGACTAATGAAATGCCCAGCATTTTTAAAAGTTAATCTATGGAAGGAGACACCCTAGGAATTTATTTTTAGGCTGCAATCCTGTATTCATTTACCTTGACATACATCCTTTTGAATGCAGTGTAGCTTATTTCTTTGTAGACATGTATAGCATTATAGTGTTACGGTTTGGTGTTTTTTTCTGTACCATTGTGTACTATAAATACAGTCCATGTAAAATAATGGCAAGGATTCACAGAAGTCCCTTTAAAGGTGACAGTGGCACTCTGCATCAAAGCATGATTATCTCTACCCTCCATTGCATTTTGATTATTTTTGGATACTTTTAAGTTAATATTTTAAATACTGTTATTTACTGATTTAGCTTCATAGTAATGCCCAGAGTCTTTAGAAGGTATCATTACCTTATCTACTATGTGTCACATTGTTGGGGAGGTTATTCAGTGGCCACGGCTCACCAAAGAGGTCAAGTTGACTCCTCCTGGAGCTATCTCAGTTCACCACAATCCCAGAAGCTGGATTCTCTGCTTCATTGACACAGAGGTCAGTAGGGGTGTACCTGTCTTTTTCTCTTTCCCAACTAGTACCCTCCAGATATGTTGAGTGACAACTCCCACAATCCCAGGGAATTATGAGCTTTACCATCCTATATATCTTGAGAGCAGTGTGTTTGGGAAGGCCTCTCTGAGAGACTCTTTCTGTGCTTCTGGCTGGACCATTGCATAGCCCAGCTGTGACCATGGATAATGGCCATCTGGATGCACAGCTGATTTGTTTGGATTTCATTCTCCCAGGCTCTGGGAACCTTCCTTACATCCCTTCCCTCTGTATCTTGAGACAGTCTTTCTCCTCTTCTGACAGAGCATGGGTCCCCTCTCTTTGAGACTTCTCAGCTTCATTTCTAGGGTTTCTCCTGCTTGTCATGGCTAGGTGTAGGTGAAGCCTACATAGAACATATTCAGGTATTGATCGCATTTATTATGTATAACTACTAGCCTTTCTGTTAAAAACAACATCAGTTTGAGTTCCCAAGAACTGCTTTCTGAATGACAAATGTCCCCTGGCCTTGAACTAAAGGTTCCCAAGAGCTGCTTTATGAATTAGGTAGTGGAGGCTCATGGTCTTAAGAGATAGGATTTTTGGAGCATCAAACCCATGAATTTTTAATGCCCATACAATATTGCCAGAGTGTGCTTTTTTGGGACTACATCTAGAATGGCTCCAGACAACATGGTGGCCATGTTATATTTGACATTCTAGAAGCCATAGTCCAAAAAGTAACTTTTCCAAGCTTTGTGTATCATACATTAGGAAAGAATCTTAAAATCTTAGAATTGGAAGGGATGTCATGGGACACTGAGGCCTCTGCTCAATGTAGGATCTCCAGCTGAAGCATCCCCAGCAGGTAGATTTCTTTTTTT